CAATGGAAATACAGTTCCTGGTCATTGTAATATATAAGACGTCAAAGAAGGAAATTCTAATATATCCAAAACATTGTAATACATCCAAAACCATACATAGTTGGCATCATTGTCATTCATTAAATTACATAGCAGTAAAACCATAAACATTGTTCCTTAGACTATTACATAATAAGATCCTTAAACTTGGCATCATTGTCATTTATACACACATTTATAGTTGAGCTTCCTAGTCATTCATACACACTTCAGATAACTGTGATGATGACATGATTGGTTCTTGGGTTGCTTTAGGGGACCACCACCGAATATTGTAGTTTCTTATCAATAAAGGACCCACACCTGACCTACCGAGACACGAACCCCTGCATGCACTCTGCCGCTTCCAACTACTTCTTCTTCACCGACGAACCTTGTCGCTTCAGCTCGAACAAAGATCACGATTTTTCTTCCCTCATGCGAACCCTAATAATAAAACCCCCCAATTTGTTTCCCCAATCTTAGTTGCATTCCTCAATTAAAACGTCTTGCCCTTTAATTTTTTCTTTTTTCCAACTATACCCTTACCCAAAACTGATTATACTTCTGTTCCTTCTTCTTTATTTAATACAAAAATGTTTTTAAATGTCACGTCTGCTTAGTAACTGCAATGACCATGCCACGTAACCAATACTGTAACGGTCGTTTGTCCAATTTAATGGTAGGCCTCTAATTGATTTAATTTTACAAAAACAAGGATTCAATTGATACACCGAAAAGAAAGAAGACCTATTTGAAATTCATGACCAAAATAGGAACCTACGGAGACATTAAACCCTTTTTATATAAACATGTATTATGCACATAATAAAAATCCCCAATCTATAACAATAAATTATAATCATGTGTTTCATTTCACCTCTACATAACTTATCTTTTTTCTTATTTTAATTAATAACATCTATCCACCGTATTTCTAGATCTTTTCAAGATCTTTCAATCTCTCTACTTTAACATAATGAGCCCGACATCCAAATATAGGGATAACTTGGCATAACAACACTCAAGTACAAAAATTACAAAAAAGAAGAAAGCTCGGGGCTCGGCACGCTCGAACAATATAAAAGAAACTCAACAAAGTCGAGCAGACTTTTAATGAAATGACCAATCATGAACTCGACCAAATGATCAATCCATCTACAAACCATGTAGCTCGACCCAAACCAAACTCCTGGAGTTTATGTTTTTATCGGGTCCAATAGACATATTAAGTCTCAACCTACACTTATTTGAATCGTATTTATATATTATAATTAAATCTCAGTAATTTGGCATAATAATTATTATTTATCTTTTTGTAATTATTTATTAGATTATTATTATTCTGACAGGAATATTGACCCAGGAATATAGATCCACGATTCACGTTTGATCTTATAAATACAACCAGAATTTCTTAAAGAATACTAACTTCATAATTATTCTCACTCTCATTTATAGATCATTCCTCTCTTATTGATTTGAGTATCCACAAAATCTACTCTTAAAATTCAAATAAATCAAATTCTCTTTTAATAAGATAAAATAGATAAATATATAAAAATAAATGAGAGAGATTGAATATTAATAAGGAATGAGTTTTTCATATAATAAACCTTAATAACACGATTCACTCACGTCTTATCCGAATTGCTTTAACCACTCAAAGATGAATACTCCATATCACAACATCTGAACTCAAAATTTGAAGGATAATGTTTATGAGTTTAATGTGATATTTTAACATATATTTGCATATTATGGTGTGACTATGCCTTTGTCTAGTACTACACTATGTTAAATATTTGGAATTATTTATTTATGCGTTTGTCATTGAAATTGACCATTATTATTGGTCTAGGTTATCAAAAAATAAAACTCAGCAACTTTAAAATAGAGCAATCATTCAAAAAATTATAATGCATCGCTACCTGCTGCCTCATACTTAATCTACTATTATATAGCTGCATCACACTTTGCAGTTATATTGTATTTTAGTGCAAAGTCAATTTTTTTTTGTCCTATACAATATGGTGTTAGATTATTTGGGTTTATTTATTGATCAGTTAGCCACCGAAATTGACCATTATTTTTAGTTCATTAGAAATCAAGAAAAAACTATTAAATTCAGCAACCTGAACTAAAACAATTATGAGTTGTTCATAAGAGACCAATCAACACTAAACCTAAAGATGTAATGTTTTATAAATATTTATTTATTTTATATCCCACCTAACTTTTTTATTTGTATTCAATACTGTACTTTCAATTTGTATTTTTATTCTTAATAATTTGCACTTATTTTGTTAGAATATATTATTCTGAGTCATTAGAACTATGGAGTACATTGTATTGAGGTGGGTATATGGTTGAAGGAGCTAATGGATGACTAGTTTAAGTGCAATTTATGTAGTAAGAAGTTATGTGCAATATCGTAAAATTAACCTATGAATGAAAGTATTACTACCGTCGTAAATGAAAATCAATATGAAAGGAAATTGTTTGAACTTGTTAGACGCGTAAATTCCTGATATAGTAATTTCATAGTAAAGTAGATGCAGTTCAAAGTGTAACTTATAGTATATTTCAAGGATAATGTCTGATAGTTCTAGAAGTGGAATACTAATCTGGTCATCTGATAAGCTTATTTAAGTCTCTTTTATTAGCTGTATTTTTATAATACATCATCTGCAAAAATATATTATCTCATTATCACTTTTGTCTCTTTTACGACTAATGCAAAGACATAGCTTATTGACATTATTTTCATTGCTCAGATAAAGGCACAGTTTCACTCATGGCAGCAGAAATGGTTACCGGTGTTCTTGTTTCTACTTTCCTCGAGAGGACTATCGACACTTTGGCTTCTCGTCTTGTCGACATATTTCATCAAAGAAAGCACAAGAAGCAACTCAGCAACTTGAAGATGAAGCTGCTAGCCATTGATGTTGTGGCGTTTGAAGCAGAACAAAAGCAGTTCACAGATCCACGTGTCAGAGATTGGCTTCTCAGGGCCAAAGATGTTGTGATTGATGCAGAAGATCTCTTGGATGAGATAGATTATGAACTCTCCAAAACCCAAGTGGAAGCTGAGTCTCAGAGTGCATCTAAGAAGGTGTGGAATTCCCTCGACTCTTCTTTCTTTGAAATTGAATTTGATTCCATGAGGGAAAAAGTCATTGAGGACCTAGAAGAACTTGCAATCGAAAGCGATCTTCTAGGTTTGAAAAAGGGTGGTGGTGTTGGGGTTGGATCAGGATCCGGTAGTAAATTAACACATACATCTTTGCCAAATGAAAGAGTTATCTTTGGCAGAGATGATGACAAAGAATTTGTCCTTAACTGGCTCACATCGGACACTCACAACAACCTATCTATACTTTCTATTGTGGGCATGGGTGGGATGGGTAAGACCTCTCTTGCCCAACATGTATTCAACGACCCAAGGCTTCAAGAAGCTAACTTTCATACTAAAGTTTGGGTCAGTGTTCCACAGGAATTTGATGTTCTCAAAGTATCAAGAGCAATTCTTGACACAATAACTGGTTCCACTGATCATACTATACAGCATGAAGTAATTCAGAAAAGACTGAAAGAAGAACTTATGGGAAAGAAATTTCTTCTCGTTTTGGATGATGTTTGGAACGAAAGACCATCTAAATGGGAAGATGTGCAGAAGCCTCTAGTTTTCGGATGCCAAGGCAGTAGAATTATTGTCACTACACGGAGTGAGAAAGTTGCTGTTGCCATGCGATCAGAAAAGCGCCTCTTGCAGGTATTAAAAAAAGATTATTGTTGGGACTTGTTCGCAAAGCATGCATTCGAAAATGCTAATCCGCAACCAGACTCAGAATTCATAGAGATTGGTAAGAAGATAGTTGAAAAATGTAATGGACTTCCTTTAGCCTTAAAAACTATGGGAAGTCTATTACACAATAAATCATCTCTTTCGGAATGGAAAAGTATTATGAAGAGTGAGATATGGGATTTTTCAGAAAATGAAAGTGATATACTCCCTGCTTTAAGACTGAGCTATTTCCACCTTCCTTCTCATCTGAAGAAATGCTTTGCTTTTTGTGCCTTATTTCCCAAAGGTTATTGGTTTGACAAGGAGTGGTTAATTCAATTGTGGATGGCTGAAAATTTCCTAGAAAACCCTCTACAGAAAAAGAGTCCTAAAGAAGTTGGTGAAGAATATTGCAATGATCTATTATCTTGGTCCTTCTTTCAACAAGATTCAAGATTTGGAGGGGAAAAGTGTTTTATCATGCATGACCTTCTAAATGATTTGGCAAAATACGTCTGTGAAGACATATGCATAAGGTTAGGAGTTGATGAACCAAAAGGTATACCCAAAACAACCCGTCATTGTTCATTTTCAGGCTCAGGTTTTGATGGGTTTGGGAGTTCGATTGATACTCAAAAGTTGCATACATTTACTCGAACAAATCGGGATTGGCGTTGGGATTGGCGTTGGGATTGCAAGATGTCCATAAATGACCTGTTCTCCAGATTTAAGTTAATACGTGTGTTATCTTTGTGTAATTGTCGTAGCCTTACGGAGTTGCCTAAATCTGTAGGAAATCTTAAGCATCTTCGTTCATTAGATCTATCCCATACTGCAATAGAAAAACTACCTGACTCAATAAGTTTACTCTACAAGTTGCAAATACTGCAGCTGAACTATTGTGAAGAATTAAAGGAGCTTCCCTCATGTTTACATGAACTCAACAACTTGCGTCGTCTTGAATTAGTAGGTACTGGAGTTGAAAATGTGATAGCATATCTGGCAAAGTTGAAGAATCTTCAAGTAACGATGGATTCATTTCAAGTTGAAAAAAGTAAGGAAATCTATTTTCAGCAATTAGGAGAACTCGATCTTCATGGAAGTCTAACAATTGATGATCTGCAGAATATTGAGAATCCCTCGTATGCATTAGAAGTTGATTTGAAGAACAAACCACACCTTGTGGAACTACGGTTAGAATGGAATTTCATTGGCAGCTCCTCTGTTGATTCAGAAAAAGCTGAGGATGTAATTGAGAACCTACGTCCTTCAAAATATTTGAAGAAGTTGTCAATAAGGAACTATATTGGTAAACAATTTCCAGATTGGTTACTTCATAATTCATTACCGAATCTGGTGTCCTTAGAGTTGGAGGGATGTGAATCTTGCCAACGTTTACCTCCGCTTGGACTTTTTCTATTTCTCAAGGACTTGAGGATTGCAAGACTGGATGGGATAGTGAGTATTGATGCGGATTTTCATGGGAACAACTCTTCTTCATTTAAATCCCTTCAAACATTGTATTTCTATGATATGAGGCAATGGGAAAAGTGGGACTGCCAAGCTGTGACAGGTGCTTTTCCATGTCTACAATATTTTTCAATAGAAAAGTGTCCCAAGCTGAAAGGACACCTGCCAAAGTTTGTTGCTTTAAAAACTTTAATAGTGATTCACTGCGAACAACTTGAAGCTTTGATTGTCAGTGCGGTAGAATTACGTCTACAAGACTGCGGAAAGCTGCCGTTGGAGCGGTCTACAATGAAAAATCTCACAATGGATGGGCAGGGCATGGCAGCATCATTGGTGGCAATGGTTGGACATATGCTATTCGACACTTCTCTTGAAAAGTTGTCCATTTGTTCAGAGTCAATAAGTGATGACTGTGTCTCTCTAAGGATCTTTCCACTTGATTTCTTCCCAACACTCAGGACTCTTGAACTCATTGGATTTCCTAATCTACAGATGATTTCACAGAATCATGTTCACAATCATCTCTGGCATCTGAAAATCAAAGAGTGCCCTAAATTTGAATCATTGCCTGCAAACATGCATATGCTGCTTCCATCTCTCATAAGCCTAGAGATAAAAGATTGTCCAAGACTTGAGTCGTTCTCTGAAGGAGGTTTGCCATTAAATCTAAAAGACATCACACTCAATAATTGCTTTAGACTTGTTGGCTCACTCAAAAGAGCTTTAGGAGACAGTCCTTCGTTGAGAAGTTTAAGGATTGAAAAAGTAAAGGCGAAATGTTTTCCTGATGAAGGTTTGCTTCCACCCTCTCTTACTCAACTAATAATAAGGGATTATCGAAATCTAAAAAAACTGAACTACAAGGGTCTCTTAGAACTCTCATCTCTTGAAACACTGAAGCTTTTGAAATGTCCCAACCTCAAATGCTTACCAGAAGAGGGTCTTCCCAAATCAATTTCATTTCTTGAAATAATGAACTGTCCTTTGCTGAAACAGCGTTGCCACAAAGAAGGAGGCGAAGACTGGAAAAAGATTTCTCACATTCGAAACCTATTAATACTGTAGTGAGGTTGTTTATTTTGTTTAATTTTGTTTAATGGTAGGGATACTTTAATATTAGAAACTTAAAACCTATAAATAAATTTTAAGTTTCTAATATTATTTTTGTAAATGAAATACATAATAAATTATTAAAATAAATTTAATTCCTTGAAAAATATTTTTGTTTGTATTTTTTCTTTCACCTTACATTGTGTCTTTAGACTTATTTTTGAAATATTTTCATTTGTCTTTCAATTCTTTGCCTTATTGTTATCGTAACATCTACATGTTTTTTTTATAATGACATATAATAATAGAAGTGATTTAAAATATGTGATTCTTCAATATTCTAGATTTTGTGAAACATGTTTATGGTACAATTTAGATATTACTTTTGTCTTTAAAATTATGTAATTTAGAAGACATTTTTTTTATTTTTAATTACACAGTTCGAAAATACTTTTTATTTCTGAAAATAAGTTCTGAATTGTACCATGCAAAAACAAAACTTTCTTTTATGTGGGGGTGTAAAGAGAATTTTATGGGAGTGTAGGAAAAAAAGGTAAGTTGGATCATACTCACACCCAAGTCCAAATTTATAACAGTGAAAACAAAAAGGGTGTTGCTCCCTCCACCAGTACACCTTTCTTCCTTCACCTTCTCAATTTGTTTTAATTCTAATTATATCCTTAGATTAAAATTTTTTAATTTTTTAATGTTATTATTTTAATTTATTTTAAACCTAGTTCTCCTACTTTTCTTTCTACACCCAATCTTTCCATCTCCCATTTCTGTTTAACAATTTGTCTTTCGTTTTACTTCGCAATCTCATTTGTCTTCTCCGTTCCACTTCTCGTCTTCCGTTTCTTTCTTTTTCATTTTCCTTATATTATTAAAATACATTAAAAATATATTCAAAAATAATAAATCAAAAAAATTAAATTAAATTATTAAAATATCTCCAACATAAAGAATAAACTAATAAAACAAACCCTAAAATAAAAAACGTAACCTTTAAACCAAGGTGACATCC